TCGTAATATACAGCAAAAGAATGATATATTTGAGACCAGTAGTACTACACCTAATAAAACTTCAGATGGCATGGACGAGTTTGTGAATACAATTGCTTCATTAAATAAGAATGAGCAAGAAATAATCTAGAAATTAGCTTGATAATTTATTATTATCTACTTTTTTTTGCTTGAGCTCAATTATAACTTTCTTTATTTACAATTTACCTAAAAAAAAAAATTTAAAATTTAGAAATGAAAATGAAAATGAGTGAAAATGATAATCTAAGAAAATTATAAAAGATTTATGTTCTGTAAGTAGCTTCCAGAGTATTATTAAAACCAATCCTTTAAAGATGATATTATTTTTTCCATTACCATAAGTTCATGCAATTACAATTTACAATTACAATATCTTTTTTCTTTTTTTTTGTTTTATCCGAGTCCTCCCCAAACACCACGTATTCTTCGCGCCAGTTGAATATCCTTCTGCATTATTGTGACTCTTTTTGCATGAATCGCGCATAGGTTGCTAAAAAAAAAAAATAAAAAAAAAATTGTTGATTTATTTCAAAGATAAGTTTCAAAAAGAAAAAAAAAATTATCAATTAATGCATGCGTACGCGTCCTCAAATAGATGAATCAAATAAGCTTCAGTAGCTAAAGAATAAAATTATTTATTTAGCGCGCGTTCTCGAGCAAAAGATATGCAAAACATAAGTTATTTACCTTCTTGAAGTGCTAAAATGGCTGCAGATTGCCATCTATAACCGACAGATGAACTGACCGATGATTGTGGTCCTAAAATGTCAATTGCAATTTCTCGAACCTAAATGAAAAGGCGGTAACATTAGATAAACTTCATAAATAGTTTTTGAAACTTGTTCTTATACGTACAACCCGTGAAAAAGGTAATTTCCTGAGTAATAGATTAGTAGTCTTTTGATAATGTCTGATTTCGCGTAAAGCAACAGTTCCAGGTCTGTATCTTTTCGGTTTTTGCGGTCTGATCGGATCCCCGGCTAAGCAAAAATAAAAAATTTTTTAATTAGCTAGAAAGAAAGAAACAATATTAAGTTATATATAAAAAAAAAATAAAAATAAAAAAAAAAGAGAGAGAGAGAGAGAACTAGAACTTACGTCTAGATCTTCTCACAGGAGGCTTTTTACTGCCACTGCTTGAAGCTAAAGGTCTAGACAACTTTTTTACCGTTGCCAATCTACGCTGAGTCACCCTGGCTGCCGGAGAGACTGTATGTGGTTGTCTTGCCATTTTGTTCTACTTACCTATACACAAATAATAGTCGAGTGTTGTATGTTTGTCGTGTTGAGGTAATTTCTAATATCTGGAATGAGTTTCACGCGTTTTTTAACTTAATTTGTACGAAATCACGTGAATCGTTATTCGCGTTCTTATATAGACGCAGTATTTATATCATCATTATAAACCAGCATTTCAAAAATATTCGATTTTATGTATTTCATATTTAATATGGTAAAAAATTGTTTTGTTTATTTCTTAATTGTTTTATTTCTTGATTGTACAATAAAAAGGTAAAATCTCTCATTAGATAAGAATTAAAGAGATACTCTAACACAACATTAGTGTCTTTATTTAAAATATTTCATATGAGAGAAATATCATCCATAATCTTTTACTAATCGGATATTAGTTACAATAATCATTTTATATTAGCAACATCAGTGACATTAAGACCTAAAAATTCGTTACAAGTTAAAATTAAATTAAATTAAAAAAAAAAAGACAAATCAATAGTATCAATAAAAAAAAAAAAAAGTTTCAACCTGGAGGAAGAGATTTTTGAAGTTTTTCTGCTTTTTCTGCATCTTCGATGACAAAAGTGTAAAGATATTTGGAACATCTAAGCTTGAACTTTATTTTTGATGTAGTATTTTTCTTAATTTTCTTAATACGAACAGCTATAAAAAAATTTTTTTTATTAATTTATTTGTTAATCCCGATATAAGATAAAGATACTAAATGATAAATTATAATTACATTTGGCGTCCTTTCTACGGGCGATTTCGAGAAAGTATTTAATATCACTGATTTGTTTCGGCTATAAAATGTAAAATGAACGGTATTAAAAAAAATAAGAAAAGTCAAAAAAAGGAGAGTTCAAACGAAAAAATCTTAAAAGAAAAAAAAATTTTTTTTTTTGATTTTTTTCGCTTTCTTCCATGTTAAATTAAATAACTATCATCCTTAAATATCCCATTCAGTTTTAACAAAACCTTTCAAATAAATCGGTTAAAATAAATAAATAATAGATGACTGGCTTACCATCGTGAAGAAATTTTACGATAATCCGATAAAGAGGAGGAAATAATTTTTATTACAAAATCTATATTTATGTGTAAAATCACATGAATGTAAAGATGATCTTTAATTTAACCGCAGTTTTCTTTAGATCCAAAAAAAAAAGAATTACTTCTTATGCTCCCAGCAAGGCTTGAACTTGCGACCTTCGCGTAAAGAACCGATGGATCCTATTAGCACGACGCTCTAACCAACTGAGCTATGGGAGCTTGCCTTGCTGTGGGAGTGATATTTTTTTTTATTATGGTATGATATGATGATAAATAAGGTACTCCTCATGATCGGCGTAACATGGCACAGATTTATTTCAATGATTCAGAATTCATTTTTTATATCTAAAAAAAATGCCATATAATATCGCGTTAGTATTTTTAAATTAATTTATTATTAATTGAACCCTTCTACATTATGCAATCTTTTTTTTTTATTTAGAATGGTGTCAGATTTCTTTTACCCAAACATGGGAGGAGTGGAAAGTCATTTATATCAATTATCACAAAGATTAATTCAACGCGAACACAAAGTTATAATAATCACTCATTCTTATGGAAATCGAACCGGAGTTCGATATCTTACTAATGGATTAAAAGTATATTATGTACCACATATGATATTATATTCCGAGGCATCAATGCCAACATTTTATGGCTTTTTCCCAATATTTCGAAATATTGTGAAACGGGAAAAAATTGATATAGTACATGGTCATCAAGCATTTTCTGCATTATGTCATGAAGCAATATTACATTCTCGTACAATGGGAATGAAGGCTTGCTTTACTGATCACAGTTTGTTTGGATTTGCTGATGCCAGTAGTATATTTATGAATAAAATGTTGAAATTTACTCTGAGTGATCTTGATCACGTTATTTGCGTTAGTCATACAAGGTAAGTTTTATCAATGTGTGATTTTTAAATTCCAAAAAGACAATTAATTTATTTTTCTTTTGATATTTAGTAAAGAAAATACGGTGCTTAGAGCGGCATTGAATCCTCAAATGGTATCAGTTATACCAAATGCCGTTGTTGCTTCGCAATTCAAACCGGATCCCGGTGCACAGGATCCTAATTTCAGTAAGTTTGTTTAAAAGATTCTTGACAAATTTTGCATAATTTTATTATGGAGTTACTTTATTTCAATCAGTTACTATTGTTGTTGCAAGTAGGTTGGTTTATAGAAAAGGCTTGGATTTGTTGGTAGCTGCAATTCCAAGAATATGTCAAATGCATCCTAAAGTTAAATTCATCATTGGTGGAGATGGTCCAAAGAGAATAGATTTAGAACAAATGAGAGAGAAATATTTACTTCATGATCGTATCGAATTACTTGGTGCAGTAATGCATCATGAAGTGAGAAATGTACGTGTAACCTTTAATTTATAAACAGGAATATTTTAATTATATTAATTAAACTTGAAAACACATTAAATAATTTAATCAGGTTTTAACTAAAGGACATATATTTTTAAATACAAGTTTAACGGAAGCATTTTGTATCGGAATTGTTGAAGCTGCTTGTTGTGGATTGCTCGTTGTAAGCACTAAAGTTGGAGGAGTGCCAGAAGTACTTCCGAAACACATGATAATTTTTGCTAAACCTGAGGAAGATGATTTAGTAAATGCGGTAGCAAGAGCCATTGAAATGATTAGGCTTAAAGAAGTTATACCAATCAAATTTCATGATGAAATTAAAGAAATGTATAGTTGGGTAAATGTTGCTGAACGAACTGAAAAAGTGAGTGTTTAAAAAGAAATTATTATTGTTTTTTTTTGTTTAAATATAAACTTAACATATTATGATTTAGGTTTATGATACAATATGGCAAATGAGAATTCCACCATTAATGGAAAGATTAAGAAGGTATTATGGATGCGGAGTATGGGCAGGTAAAATATTTTGTATATTGGTAGCGATAGATTATCTTGTATGGAAATTCTTAGAATGGATATTTCCTGAACAAGATATAGAAATTGCTTCCGCTTTTCCTTATCAAAAATATAAAAAAGTAAGTAAATATAATTTCATTTATGTTTCCTTATTATTATTATTATTTACAAAGCTATATTTAATTTAGATGTGTCAGATGGCAGATAAAGAAGTAGTTAATGAATAATTAGTTATATAATTTAATCTTATAAATTATTATTTTAACGTTAATATCTCGAATTCCTATCAAAAAAGGTTCACAAATTATTTTTAATAAATTGATTCCAAATGATTAATTCTAATGATTTATTCATACATATATATTATCTGTCCTATCAAACTTTTTCAGAACAAACTTACAAATTTTCTTACTAACGCAAGAAGATATCTCACAACAATGTTTCATAAAATAACAATAATGGTAAAATTAGTTTATATAAGTGATATAATGAAGGTTAAAATTTATTATCCGCACTAACATATAAATTATGAAAAGTTACAAAGAATTAAGAGTTGGCGATCCTTAGGTTAAGGATGCTCAACAGTTACAGACCATTTTACAGGTGTACAATTTAAAACCAAACCAAACGCGAATTAACGAATACTTTATTTTGTGTATAAAAAAATTGAGATCATGCCTCACAGTCGCTTACTTTATATATAGAAAAAAAAAAGAAAATAATATTATATTTCAGATGATTCATTGGATTTCAACTAAATCCCCTTTACCCAAATACTTCTTTTTCAACCAACTCAACCAATACAAATCATGTTCCTTTTCAATGGTTCATTATCCCCAACTCCAGTTGGCCAAGCAATATCAAGGTTAATGAATAATGGATAACATTCCACATTCTCTCTACCGACCCAGTCAAAATCTATCAGTATCCCGTGGTACCCTTCACTATCTCTGGTAACCAAGATGTTAGAGTCACGAAGGTCTGCAAAAACGAGATTCTTTCCATGTAGATGAAGGACAGCCTCTTCAATGTCATTGATAATTACTTCATAATCAGACTGGGCCAAATGAACACAATCACGTAATATTTGACCTTCAACAAATTCCATAACTATCATATGAAGCCCACATTGTTTATCTAAAACATAGAACAGCCTTGGTGCCTTTCCAATTCCATAGCACAAATCGTGTGCCTCTTTGTTGTAACGATGCGTAAACTTAACGATAATCATCTGTTTGTCTTTCGTTTCGGCCTTCCAAAGAAGCTTGTATGAGTCATCAACAAGTTTCTCCTTGTACTCGAATTCAAAATCTTCTATTTTGCGAGTGTAGGGGAAAAACCGTTGTTCATTTGTTGTTGGAGATGGCAGTGGTCTATAATACTTTTTCAGCTCATCGCAACCCAGACGCAAGGCCATGAAGAGTCGTGCAATTTTCTTCAAGTGGTCTCGATCATTGATAAGGATGAGAGGTATCAAGTTTGTTAGGGGCTCAACAAGTGGTTTCTCAACATAAACAGCTCCTAATACGCATATCCAGGGCCCAGCCAAACCTATGATGAAACACGGCATGTTACACCATTTAAGCATCTGTTCATTCTTACTCTGGGTATAAAACTTAGCAAAGGAAATGGCTGCCTGAGTGGTCGGATCACATTTACCAGTGCCAATTTCATTTTTTACTTCAATAAGAAGGTATAATATGCTCTTTGCGTGCACATTGCATTCCAAAACTCCATCATTTGAAGATTGATCATCAAGCTGAAGCAACTTTACTTCTTCACGAAATAATTCACGAATCTTTTCATGAAATTCTCGCTGACGTAACTTTTCATTAGAATAAATATCCGCCATAGTTTTAATGCAATTGAGGGTCCATTGATAATAGCTTTTATCCACAAGTAGTTGTTTGTTTTCGAAGTTTATCTGGAAATTGCAAAAAGCAGAATTATATAATTTTAATGGTATGCTGACACATTCTGAAGGGCGATAAATAAGAAATGCCTGATCTTTAATTTGGTATTCATTCAAATTGCTAATTTGAGCAAAAGATGATGGGGAAGGTTATTTTCGGATCTTCTTCACATTTTTGCTCTGTTCTGTAAAGGTTAGGAAACGCTAGTTGAGACAACTGATTTGCAAAAACAAAACGAACACATGCCGTAATGCTAACCTTCTTCGTAATCAGACTTTCGCTTAGGAGATATTATGGAAGCTAGATAGAAGAGTCAATATTATGATATAGAAAATGAAAATGAAACAACGGCTATCATTTCGCGTTCGCTCGCGTTGACCAAATTTATTACGACTCACTTACCAGTGGCACCAGGTTGCTCTACGATAACTCGAATGTGTTTTTTGGGCGGGTTTGACGATAAGAAGCAGGAAAGAAAAGCACAAGAATAAGTAAGTATTCGGTATTATTGGTGAATATGATAGAGAAGACGAAAAAATTACGCTATATCACGTTGACTATATTTATTATGACTCACCATTAACGGGAATTTTGATAACAACTCAAATATTTCTTCCTTCGATGCCAAAAAAAGTATTTACAATAGTACTTCTTTCATCTTTTAATTCATTATCATCATTCAACATATCCTCTGAAATATCACTAATTGAAGCGACATTAACACCCCACAACCTAAGTTTGTCGGCATCAACCCCAGCAGTATCATTTGGCTTTTTACTTTTAATAGCTTCCTTAAGATCGTCAATATCATTATTCGTTCCAATATTAACTTTGAAAATCGAACTGCTTCCCTGCACAAAGCACCAAAGTATAATAGGCGTACCATCAATAGACATTTTTATGGTTATTTTGTATCACAACGATAAATGAGGAAAGAAAGATTTTTTTCGAATTGCGGGAGTAATTTAGTTTTATATAGGGATCACAGATCTGATCAGTGACGCAATCAATTTATGGGCGCAGTAGTCGCATATGATTTTTATTCGAAATCTTATTTGCTAACAATTTTGGGATTACGTAACTTACGTAACTAAAAAAAAAAGGAGCGAGCATAGCAGACATTTGTATGATTGGTCAATTTTATGTCGATCATTTCCTAATTATCAATAAAAGATCAATTTTGATTGGTCTAATTTTACTATTAAAATTTACCGATATTTTTTATTTTATTAATTTTTTATATACTACATCTTTAATAAAAATAATATAATATATATATATATTTTTTATTAATTTTTCATGAACATTTCAAGTGCTGTTTTAAATTGACTTATAGATTGAGAATTAAATAATGGTTGCTTTGATAATTCTTCAGGATTATCATTTTCTTTTAATTGAACTTCATTTTCTTGATTAGTTTTAACCTTAAAATTTTCTTCAGTAATTCTACAAATAATAGACTTTGCATTGTTATTGATATATTTTAAACAATGTAAACATTTGTTTTCAAGATATTGTAAACAATATTAATGATAAATATGATCACATAAAAGAGAAATTGATATATAAGATAAAGACATTGATTGTAATACCTAACAATTTTGAAGTTAATCCTATTAAAAATTCTTTACAGTAAGGATATTTTCTTATTATAACAAATGCATTTTGAAATACATTATCATGATGAAAATAATTGATAACATGAGCTATTCTTAAAAGCTATTCATGTATATCTGTTTCTTTTATTTGTTTTTGAATTAATGAATGGTAATTTTTCACAGAATAATCATTAAATACTACTAAATGATTTTAAAAACTTCAAAAATTGGATGATTTATACTTTTCCAATACTAGATATCTGAAAGAAAGAATAATAAAGCTTTGTTATAATTTTTTCGTTTAAATTAAGCAAATAAATACCATATTCTCACATAAGCCTCAATATATTCCTTCCAATTTCCTGATCTAAATATTGTTGCATAAATATTAAGAACTAAAGGAATAGTATCATCTAAAAATGTTTTTAGTAAAAGATATTTAATATCTTTAGAATATAATAATTCAATTCTTTTTTTAACATATGATGCAATATTTTTCTAGGCATCTAATATTAATTGTAATAGAAGATTAATTCTCTAAGAATAAGATTTGTTAACAAGTTTTTTGTTAATTCCAAAAATATATTTATATGCAAAATTAATAATATCAAAAAATAATAAAATAATAGTCTCATGACTGTTAAGAGATACATGTAAAGATCTTATAATTGGAATAAAAGAATTAATATAATCTGAAATTCCTGTTTGATAATTTTTTAATTATTATTACATGATAATTGCTTTTTGAGAGTGTATTTGGTCTGACCAATCAGTAACTAATAAAATAATATTATGTTAAAGATATTTTTGAAATTCTGAAAGGATGCAAATGTTTTCATGACCTTAATGTATGCTTTTATTGAATGCAGATCAAGCTTAATAAATCTACTAATAAAATGTTACTAAGTTATCAATCTTTATATTTTTCATAAATATCTGCATTATAGTAATAAACAGTTAGTTTATCAAGTATGTCAATATTGGAAAATGTAAATTATTTTGCAAACTGATTATTAAATGATTGAAAAAAAAGGCTTATATATGAATTTTCTATTTGAAAATCAAAGAATTAGCATCAATAAGTAATAGATTATGTATAGAGTATTGATTTATATCTATAATAATATTTTTAGGAATTGCATTTATTATAGGTATAGGAATAGCAAGAATAGTAATCATATAACAATAGTACTAGTAGAGATAGTTGTTAGCATCTGCAAACTGTAAATATTATGATAATTGTTAATATTGATAATTATCAATTCATTGATGTTTTAAAAGTTTTTATATAATATCATCTTTATGAATCAAAAATATAACATTTTTCACACATTGATTTTCTTTTAATATAAAATTACCATAAATAACTGATTAAAATACCCTCATAGTATAATACCCTTCTGTACTTATACCCAAAGTACTATAAGCTATTTACAAAAAAGGTAATATATAAAATTTTGAAAAAATCATGCCAATAATAAGTTCTGAATATCTTTATATTATTTATATAATTTTAGGAAAAAATTAATTATAAAGTTAATGTTTTTTTTTAAAATAATATTTTACAAATTTTATGAAATTTATATTATATTTGGGTATTTTAGTCAGCTGTTTATAATAAGTTATAAGTCAAATAACACAATAGCTCGATTAAAGTTACTGAAATAATTCATAAATATCATAATGTTTTTGTTAAATGCATTAATTTTTTATTTCTGATTCTTGTAAGGAAGTAATATAAGAAGGAGAGACTGTTCTATCATTGTAAGATAGTATGATCCACAAAACCTCTACCACTTAGATTGATTAATTTCTCAAGCATATTAAAAAATGGTTTAAGATAGACATCTTTGGTCTTCATATACGTCTAAATCATAAATCAGTAACTTCTTTTCTAGTTTTTCTCTTATATAAAGGATCTGTGCTATTGATCTAATACATTTAATAAATTTAATTTTGTTAATTCCTTTACCATTATTTATCTCAATTCCTTCTATTATTAGCTTAGATTTACCATTAATTCCTTAAAAATAAAAAATAAAATAATTATATTTAATTGATTAATCTTTAAAAAATTATAAATGAAATTAAAAAATCTTACCTTTGATTTGTTTTGCATTTAATCAGAATCTTGCTTTCTTTTTAAAATACTTATATTTGAAGATTTATCATTAAACCTTATGAACCTCTAGGCTTAGTCTTATTATTTACAATATGACTTATGTAATGATTATGATAAAATTGAGAAACTTTCAACTCTCAAATAAGATCTAATATTCTATATTTCAAAGTTTTGCATTTAATATTCTCTGTGAATCTTTGAAACTTTTTTCAGGCCCTTTTATTTCACAAATAGTGCATAGTTCTGAAAGTTTTTCTTGTAATTTTTATTATAGAATTTCCATTATTTTCTCAGAATTGTCAAAAATTTTGTTAAAAAAATATGTATGATTAATAGAATTAAATTTATCTAATGTTAAAATAAAGTTCTAGGAATAAATTTAAATAGTTTTTATTAATAATGATTATCAAAAATCATCATTATTTAATATTACTTTAAACTGTATAAATACTTTATCATGTGATATTACATAATTAAATTAGCTAGCCAATTATCCCTTAGATTATAAAGTTTCGCAGGCAAATTTATCTGCTTATTTATTACAAATTCCCTTCTGATTTACTTTTATGAAAAATTAAAATTATTTAAAAAAATTTTTTTTAAATTAATTTTATAAATATATATTATATTATAGTAATTTTTATTTTTTAATATATAATAAATAATTTACAGTTACTTATAACTAAAAATTTGTAATTTTAAAAAAATTATAAATTTAAAAATTTCATCATTGACCTTGACAATCTTATTAACATTTACTTTTAGCAATATTAATCATAATAGAATATTATACAATTTATCATGAAGAATAATTTTAATTATTACACCTTTTATAATTTACTAAGAAATTTTATGACTTTTATTAGTAATAAAGTAATTCAATTAGTTCGCAAACATATAAATTTTAAAGAATTTTTTAAAAAATTATTATAATAAATTTTTTAAAACTTAAATTTAAAAATTAAATTATTTAAAAAATATCTTATAAACTTAAAATTTCTTCTAATAAAATTAATAAAAAATATATTAAACTATATTTTCATATAATTATTATATTATTAAAATTAATATTTAATATTTTATTAAAAAAATAACACATTTTTTTAAGTTTGCAGGCAAATTTGCCTACTAGACAATCTAAGGGATAATTGGCTAATATAATTGAAAATTAATTAGAGTTAAGATTAAAATTAGATTAGAGTTAGGTACTTAGAATTTTTCAATAAGTTAGATTATTTATCATATTATAGAATATCACATATAATCAATTATATTAGTCAATTAAAGATTAAAAACTAAATTTATATACTTGAAATACAGCAAAAATAATTTATATAATTAGGATATGTGATATAACAAATGATTTATAAAATATTAATACAATATAAAAGATCTATAAATTAGGCTGATAAATAATTAATCTTAATATTACTTAAATTTTAAACAAATTAATCAATAAAGAAAAATAAAATTATTAATCATAAAAACATAATATAAGCCTTAAAATATTAAAAAAAAAATTAGAAAAGAAAATTAGAGAAAGAAATAAAATAATCATAATACAATAAGTTTAAATTAAAGTTATCAAAAAGAAAATTAAAGGAGAAAAAGTAAAAAAAAAATATAGTAATAGTATAATAATATTAGAATAATATTTAATCATAAAATTGTAGGATTATTGTATAATAATTAAGTAGTAATTACTTTATTTTTAATACAAATATTATAAAATAATAAGATAATTATTATATAGTTCTTGACAATAGATTAGTAATTAATGTAAAAATTTAATATATAATCAATACTCTATAAATGCATCCTCTATAAATACACATCTTTTATAACCTTTTTATCTAGTTCTAACTTAAGTATAAGTATTAAATATATATTTTGTATATATATATTCTATAAATATATTCTTTGCAAAAAGTTTTTATATAGTTTACTTATAATTTTTTTATATTAACTTTAATTTTAAATTAATATTATATAGATTTATATATATTCTATAAATGCATATCTTTTTTAAATGCATCTTTATATCTAGTCTTAAGAGAAGTGCATTTATAGAGAACAGACTGTAAATAGCTTAAAAATTTGTATTATGTAACTTGATAGTGAATGATTATTTAGTAATAATTAGCAATTTTCTTTGAATAAAATATTTTTAAAGTAA